TTCTGACTGTAATAAATTTTTTTGTCTTGAGTGTTTTAATGATAAGCATGATGCTATGGAGTAAAGAACTCAAATAAAGTACTAAAGGCAGCACAGTTGACTCCTTATATTTAGCCTCCTACTTAAGGAAAAAGCAAAAGAAAATGCTTTTCTATACAGTTTCTCGTTAAACTATAGCGTAGCCCACCGGTGGGCTACATCAGGTCGAATGTGTTAAAATTCGGTCTTCAGCATCTAGTTTCATTCTAGGAATAAAAATAGAATCGTTTCAGGACCAAGAGAAATGATGAATAGGAGAATGTATGAAGATATCAAACATTCTCTCAATAGAAATATGTTGTACATTTTTGACCGGTTTGGTTATAACTGAAAACTATTAAATAGATCACAAAAAAATAGAAAGCGTCATTTATAGTGCGAACTCTATCCAATAAACTCAAGAATAGACAAAAAGAAAAAAGAAACAATTTGCTCAAGCTGCGAATCGTCAACACTTTATATGACATCAAAGAAGAATTTTTGTAATGAATAGAATCAATCCCTTTTATTAAAAACAAAATGGTTTCTTGCATGTCTTTTCTTGGTTTGCAGTTTGAGAAAATAAAATTCTGAAAATCTATTTATTTTATGTTCGTTTAAATTAGATTTGAACAAAAAACATTAAATTATTTTATTTTGAATAATATTTGAAGAATATATTTAGATCTAAAACAAAAAAAAAAAACACTCTATTAACATGCATTGAATAACATAGATGTCAATGTTGTTCATTTTGTTTTTCTTTTTGTTCGAATTAATCTGTTTCGAAAGAAAGAGAGAAATTAGAAAAAAAATGATTCATCAAACAAAATAGGCAGAAGTATGTCATTGTATATGTGAGTATATAAAGACTCACTATGAATATACAATAGGAACGAAAAAAAAACAAAAACAAAAAACATGATCGTTAGTTCATTTGAAATTTTACCTGACGATATTCTTTATGAAATTTTTGCTTATTTGTCTCCAGTTGATATTCTTCAATCATTGTTTTCATTGACTAAACGTTTATCAAGAATCATATCAAATGAATATTTATGGCACATTCATATTGGTGATAGAACAATGTCATTATCAATGTTTAATGATCAATGCGAAAATATCTTGAAATTAATAGGAGGTCGGATTGTCTCATTACGTTTAACATTAATCGATGTCATTGGTGGATGATCACTCGTTTCATCTTATCTTCAGTATCATCAGATAACATTGCTGCAACGTCTACATCTGATTGACATTAAACCACATGAATTTGATAAATTATTGCGTAATCATGTAATAAAATCCTTACATACTTTATTAGTTGATGTGACGTCATCTAATCCATTCAATTGTCTTCAAGTTGAAGGAGTTTATCTAGTTAAGGTAAGAAAAGAACTATTTCTATTCACTGTGGAATTCGGATATATTTTTTTTCAGTTAACAAAAAACTTATTGATATAACGATTGATAAAATCTAATTATTTTTAATTTAATAATAGGTGTGTTCAAAAATGCCTCTTCTAAAAATTTGTCGACTTCCTTTTAATCATAATGATAGCAATGCAAATCAAATACGAAACAATTCGTTAGAATATCAAATAATTTTATCGAATTTATTAAATATAAATCATCTTCGTACATTGACTATTGGTATACATACGTCACATTTTCTTGAGTGTTTATTATTATGTATACCATTTATCGAGAGTCTATCTTTTGGCATAGAAGATCGAGATATTAATAAGAATGATACACATGATAGAATCTTGTAAGTAACAACTGTCATTTGTAAAATTGTCAATTACATAAATATTTTTAGACTACCTACTACTATTGATGCTCATCGTCTTCAATACCTATCTCGTCTACGTATAAATTGTAGGAATAGCATAAGTTTTCATCGAATTATTGCACTTTTATCATCTGTATTCGGTCAACTTTGTCATTTGTCATTAAAATTAGAAGCATTTACATTAATTTCCGATCCATTAATTATATCAGGTGATATTATTCAACAATTCTGTATCGATCGTCTTCAACCAATGGCCACTTATATTCTTAATCTATTATTCTACATTATGGATGATTTTGAAGAAAAAAAAATTTTCAATACATTTTTAAAAGTTCCATTTACTCATCGACAAAGACCGAGAGTGTTCATTCAAGAACTTGATGATCATGATTTCGATGATCTATATCATGGTTTTATGGTGTATACTTTACCATATAATAATACAATTCTTTCATCATACATATTCTCTACAGATCTTGAAAAGTATCTAGAAAATATTTATTTATATGATGAAAGATTGATTGAAATCTTTTTTCTCTTCCTCTATTTACGTCTTCTCAAATGCTAATTAATCCAGTAGATCTATTTCCACGTGCTGATACACTCTCTCTGCGTGGTTATAAGAAGACCAATCGTGTTCGAGATCTTGGTAACTTTAGAAGTTCAATATCATCATTAGTTCCGTGGTCATTATTAACAAATCTTTCTATCAATCATAGTGATGTTCTTACTCCGGCCACATTCGAATCAATATTACGGATGGCTTATAACGTAGACACACTAGAATTATTTGATGATAGAGGGATTTTACTTCGTCCAATATTAAATAATCATAATCTCGTAACTCTTATCAATCAACAAGTAAGAATTTCTATTTTTAAAAGAAAAATCTCAATGAAATTATTTTTTCTCTAAATTTTATTTGAACCAATGTTCAAATTTTCTTTTTTTTTTTGAGGAAATCTTTTCATTTAAATCTAATGTGGAAAGAGAAAGATTATTATGAAGATTTAAACTTATTAGATAACTAAAAAAAAAAAATATTTTCATTTTGTTGAAATAGATTATATTTTCTATTAATTAGATAAAATCATTTGAGATCTACGATGTAACATTGACATTGCAAAATGTTCAACGAATTTGCACATTATTGTCGAGTCGATTTTGTAACTTGAAGAAACTTTTATTTACTATTTCTGATGCATATGATGAATGGGAATGGAAACCATCTTGTATTATTGATGGGAAAAACAAATCTACAAAACGTATTGTTAATCTTATCTATCTACTTGTTGATCAATTACAAAAACTTGTTTATCTACGTATTAGCTTTTGCACTACGAATTTCTCTGATACACCTTGTTTTCCACATTTAATCCGACAACAACTACATCAATATCCACTTAGTCGACCATTTCGATTACGAGTTTCTTCCAATGCAGTTGAAATTTGGCTTTAATAATAAATAAATTATATTAGAAAATTCTTTTATTATAAATTCTTCATATGTGTACTTAAAATAGAAATAAATACATGTTGAATTGGATTTATTAACATTAAATTGTTGGAAAAACTCCAATGTTTTCTTTTTCACAAGTTATAAATTGAAAATTTGAAAATAAACTAAATTTTCTTGATTGAATTTAACATACAGTCAATATTCGACTATATAAGATCAATGTTTTAAGATAATTACATTTAGAATTAAAATCTTTTCTCCAGTCATGTTATCTAATCCTCTGGTAGATTTTCTCGTAAATTAAAAGGTATCATTAAAAATAATTGAGATATGAAGAAGAGTCCAGAATATTGTTGATTTAGATATTAATAAACCTTAAAACAGAATGTCTAATATAAAATTCGTTTGTTTCCTTTCTTTATTCCTAGTCAGTTTATAACATAGAAAAATGCATTATTGTTTTCATTGACAATTAAGGTCAAATAGGTGTCTAGTAAATGATTTATCTAGTAAGACTTTTATGATTATTTTTAAAAATATTTATAAAGCTGAGCTACTGTATTGTTTAAAAGGTGTTAATAAACGACTTAAATGTACTTTCACATGATCCAATTGTTACTAATTATTGGATTTTACTGAGACATTCTTCGGATGAATTCATCCATCTATCAATTGATTCAATTGTCGATCGATTTTGTTTACAAACATGAATATATATATATATATACCTTTCTTCAAATATTAACAATATGAAATCACCGGCAGATTCCCTCAAAAGAAATATGTGAATATCATAGTCAGATATTTAATTGCTTTGATTGTTTTGTTATATATGTCTCGATGGAATTTCTTATTTTTTATAAGAAAGTTAACTATAGTCATGTATTATTAAAAGTTTGTCAAGAGTAAACCAACTGAAATAATATGTAATAAAGATAAAAGTAAGGAATTGTTTTAGTAAGAATGATGAATAGATTAGCTCGGTTGATTGTTAACATTTCGTTAATCGTAATTCAAAAATGAATAAGGACATCGATCAATACACAACATAATCTAAGTCAATATGAAGCATGTCTTCTATATAAAAGCTTCCTACCTAATTAATATCGACTTGAGTTAGTCATCTTTTATCAATATGAATCTTGTAACCTAAATTTTAAAATATTTATTCGAAGTATTAACTTATTATTCCATGTTATTCTCATCATTTGAATCTACATTATCTTGACATATTTTGTGAAACACGATCTGAAAGGAGTGTTGAAGTGTTTACGGGTAGAAATTTGGACCTCCCCCACAGACCGTGACTGACAGAACTCAGGGATGTTCATACACTGTGATAGAAGACTTCAAGGAAATGTCAGATATGATGTATAACTAATATATGATTGAACCATATATGGAGTATTATCCTGTTGAGTGCCTAGAATGTAAGGTAAACCATTATGAAGAAATGTACATCAGTATGCATAAAAACAGCAGCTTTTTGAATATCAGCTATAGCAGCTGCATCGTGTTTCACATTTTTAATCCCGCAAGGGATTGCGCTAACAGCTTTTATAAACGAACTTGGCTAATTTCGTTATTTCCCATAAATCTCATCGTTTATTGCAGATGTGACTAAAACAATCAGTTTTCTATTTAAACAAACATAACTAGATACTATTGATGATCATATATGACAAGATTAGCCTTTTTACGAATATCGCCAGTGATAAAACAATTTATTATTTTTTTCTTTTTGTCAAATATTTTCTATAATCTATATGTTTTTCATTTTATTATTGGAATACAAAAACCAAGTCTCGGAAATAAACCATTGGAGAAACTTGACGCGAATAATTTAATCAGACTTTTTTTCTTTGTTTTAGCAATAAACATTAATTACAAACAAAACGACTTATATATATTTGTTCATAGAATATAAATAGTAAATGTTGCACTTTACATAACAGAAAGCGATTCATACCATGAAGAGTTCATCAAGAACATTGCCAAACAATTCTCGTTGAGTTCGAGACAAGCTCATGGCACATCAAAATTTAGTAGAAGACTTTTTTTCATCGAATTTCTCGAAGATTTTCAACAAGGAATACAAATACGATATTTGAAAGTTGTATTATTTATCCAACATTTAAAAGCATTTTTCATAGGTCGTCGACTTTCGGATAGATAGACCTAAACTACGAAAAAAAACCTCGAGAGAGATTATTGACTATATTTAGTCGATTACTGATTGTTTAAATACAGTTACGAAACTATCTACAACTATTCGAGATCCATATTTTTGAACTTTCAAATATTTCAGTCCTACCACATAAACAGATGAGATTTGGAAAATCTTTATTTAGAATAGGTTTAGGTTTTTCAAAAATGATAAGGAACATCAATAATCAACGAAACAGAGTCAATAAACCCTCTCGAAATCTTTTTCTTTTTCGTAGTTCAGATTTATCTAGTCGAAATTCTGAAATCTAAGGAAAACTCTTGGAACTGATCTATAAATAGAACAACTTTCAAATATCGTATTTGTATTCTTTGTTGAAGATCTTCTAGAAATTCGATAAAAAAGAAGAATTATTCTATAATTGGATATATTCTGGATCTGACAATCAACTTACAAAAACATTTTGATATTATGTTTTCTCGTTGACTTGTCTTCTATATTGAAAACCATACTGTCGTTATCTCATCAATATAATTATGTGAATATATCGATGGTTTTACTTCATGAATAATTCAATAGATTAATACTCGATAAATCTATTCAATAATAATAAAAAAGAATTTTTTTCTTCTGATAATAAGTAAAGAGAATTTGTTAATGATCTCGTCAAATTAGTGATAAAAGAAAATGAGGGAAGACTAAGAGTTTCCTATTCTATCTGAAAACTTGAGTTATCTGTTGATCGATTCTCATTAAAGTATTTTCAATAAAGTAAGTAGTTGTTAAAGTTACTGTTTATATTATAATGAAGTGCTATATTATTTATTATTCGTATTGAAATGATGCATTTTTCTTAAATAATATGAGCGAAACTATAAAAAATCGATATCTATATCAGAGCTGTCATCAGGCCAACCTGCCAGACGATCGGAAAATATGAAATTCAAATCTGAGGGTGTGGGTGTGAGTTTTCTCCAAGTCCATACACACACCCACGCTTGCACCCACCCTGAAAGAAAACATTTTTTACTAAAAGATGAAGCTTTTTCTCCTCTATCAAGTCATATGTAAGTTATTTTCATAAAACGTTGGTAAACAGAACGACACAACAAAAAAAGATGGACACTCTCAAAAAAAATTGGCGCTGCTTCTATAAAAGAATGACACGAAATGTCGACCGTTATGTAAGTTTCATACATGCACTCTAAAAAGAAAATTTTGTTATCAGCTGATAGGCAATTTTCTTCTCTTTCGAACGGTGTATTATTATCTAACAACATGATTTCGACGAATTTATATAAAAATTGCAAATTTATTGCGCAAGTGTTTCTCTTCTTCATCTCATTTTATTTACGAATATGTGACAAATATAAATCATACACCATTCGAAAAAGAAGAAAATTTTCTTTTCAAGACCTATTGAAGAGTTATTCAAGAGATATACGAACGAATCAATATTTTGTGCCGTTTTTCTAAAGTCCACAAAAAGTGCGGATTTTTTTTGAAGGTATCTCTTTTTTGACTGTGTCATTCCGAATACAAATATTTTATGAAAATAACTTATATACGATTTGAAAGAGGAGAAAAAGCTCTATCTTTTGATAAAAAAAAGGCTTTCTTTCAGCGATCTTCTATCCAAGAGAAAAAGGAATCAACATTTTGTGCCACTATTTTTGCATCGTATGATATATGGCAACAAAAACATCAACGGTTTAGTTTATTGTGATGTGTTTCTGTTGTCATGCTGCGGACTAACAAAGTGATAGACTTTTAAAAGCTGAAAATGCTCATGCTTTTCTCAACTGTCAGTACTGCTTGTTCGAATTCAGGTGGGTGTGAATGCGATCTTTTCTTCATTCAAACCCGCAGTGACATCCACACCTACGAGTACATCAATTACTGAACACACTCGAATTCTTTAATGATACTGATGAACCTTTTTGTTTTCAACTAATTCAATAGTTTCATTAAGAGTATCATCCATAGAAAATGTTCGAAAAAAAAGGCGAGTCATATGCATTTGGACTTCCAAACACTTCTTGCGATTTATTTTGTTTTTTTTACGTATATTTTGAAAAATTCTCAACTAAGATTCGTCTTGAACAGCATTTTCAAAGTACCAACTGCTTACAATTCTACAGTCCATCGTGTATGAAAGGTACATTAGTTGCTCAGATGTCAGAAAAGAGTAGATAGTTTGCAGAATAACAGGATTCTAAACTTATCACATCCACATCCTTAAAAGTCAAAATAATTTTGTTTTTTTTTTTCAATAAACTGAAATTTGACATTTGTTGAAACTGCTAATTGAATATATTTGATTGAATAATGTTATAGAAAAAATTTATTTGACAAAAATAATCATAAATTACAAAGAAGCAAGAGAGAAACCATGCTTGTCGTTGACTAATAATAGAGAGTGATCTGAACATTGTTTGTTTTTTGTATATTTCAAGAAATAAATCAATGTAACATAAATTATTCAAGTTTTATAAATAAAAAAATAACCGATAATGACAATAATCAAGCATATGAATAGTATAATAGCTATCGAACAATTACAGGCTGAATCGCTATCATTTGAATCCTTTCAATAGAAAATAATTATCAATGTGATACTTTAACAAAATTATATTTGAAAACTTACTTGGCTCTATATTTTTATCATTTTCGTGTTCAGTACCATCTAATGAAATTTCTTCAGTTGAATCAAAAGAAATTATGATATGATTTGTTGCATTTGTATCTTTCATATATGAAAAATCTTCTGGTAATAATGTTGGACATACTTTTTGTTTAATAAAAGCTTTACCTATTGGATTCATAATAAGTAAACGTCGAACAAACCAAGCTAATTTTGCATACGTTGGTGGATTAAATGAACATGATAAACAATTTTCATTGCAAATTATTTTACCACAAACTTTACGACTATATGTTTGTTGAATTTTTAATAATATTTCATCCGATGTTTGACCAATTAAAAATGATACTGGAAGGTCAAAATCGATTAATAATAATTTTTCAGTAAGATTTACACCTAATTCATTCATAAGAATATTTTGAAATGCCATTCGATCCATATAAAACCAATTGTCCATTGTTAATGGATAAAAATCTTACTCCTAGACAAAAATAATTCTTCTTACGAGAATAGATATTGATAAGAGATGAATGATATCTGTAAATTCATCATGCTATTTATATACTCATTTAAACAATGAACGTCCGACCACTCTAATGAATCGATAAGAAAATGTTAACTGCCTATTGTTGTCAGGTTTCATGTTTATTCAATCAGCAAATTAGACGTCATCGTGTTTCTGTTAATATGCTTTTATCGATGAATGACTCACCTGATCAATTTGTATGAATAGCTCCGTCTCAAAGAAGAATATTCATAGATGGATGTAGGAGAAGACATAACTCACACCGACATTCTCATTGACACTTGGAAGTACAGCTATACATTTTCTAGAACAGTAACACTGTAGTATCCGCATTCTTTTATCTGTACTATTAATTTTGGTTTAAATTTTTCCAAATTTAAACCAATCTCATCTATGATGTACAGAACAACTAGTAATGACTTATCATGCATGCTTTTTTTTTTGTACTTGTTAAATCAATCATTATTCAAAAGTTGAATTGTAGCATTTGAAAAACTTTGGTTATAAGATGACTGAAGAAATTTAACATCTATTTGAATTAATCGCAAAACGAAAGATATTAGTTTCATCTTGCTTGACGTTCTTCCTTGACCTGACGTTGACTACGATGGAATTCAATTGTATGATAATGAAGAACGAGTTGTTCTGTATTCATCTCGTATCATAATATCTGAATTCCACAATGGAGTTTCTGAACTTGTGTTAGCCGTTGTCATGAAAATTGTCAAAGACAATAGCAGTAGGTAAGAAATTCAAAACTAGTAGACACAGTATCAAACAAGAACATTTCTATCTGACACAAAAAGAAATTGTCAAACTATAAATGATTTCGAGATAAATTCTCAATAGAATTCAATACCTTTTTTTTTTTTATAAAACGTATGTATTTGAATATCTCTCAGATGCATAGAAATTAATAATTGTTAAATCAATTTTGAATTTTGTTGTTAAATTTCGAATATATCACCTTTTTCGTTAACTATCAAAATACAGACTAATAATGAAAAGAAGATTAATTTAAAGTAAACTTACGAGGAAGGTTCCCCAACTGTTTAAAAGCTTTCGGCTTCATCTTTT